GAGGAGTCTGGCTGACAATATGAGGAAGAAAAAAATGTGGGGGATTAAATCAGTGGGTTGAGCAAACAGAAAGAGAAGAGAAGGTGTCCAGCTGAGTTTACAGGGGCCTGTCACTGCAATTCCTCCCCTTTCCAACGCAGCCCCAGGGCCTCCAGGCGTTTCCTCCGGGCGTCTCCTCAGCAACGCCCCCCAGTCAGGAATAAGCCCCAGGAAGGCAGCTTCCCCCATCCCCATCCCACCCGCAGCACTGAGGAACAGGGCTTCAGCCCGCCCCAGCTGGACACCTCCTGCCTCCCTGCCCTGCCCAGCTGGCTCCCTGGCCCACCCTGCCTCGCAGCCCAGCTGCAGCCCAGCCGCAGTGCTGTGAGCCGGGCGCCTCTCCAGCTCTGCTCTGCACCGTGGGCTGCAGCTTACGTAAGCCCCGCACACAGGCAGTGGATTCATCTCTGTCACCGAAAGCCCCAGAGACAGGGCAACGGTCACGTTGCTGGGCCGTCCTCCCCTCTGAGCTGTCAATAGTCAGCCAGCCACAGTGCCAGCACAGCAAGTGCCCTGGACAGGACAGAAAGGCCAGGTCTAACCATGGACAGGGAACTCTTCTTCCCAAGGAAACAGGGAACCGGAACAGAGGCATCTGAGTAAGTCTCTGGCCTCTCGGCTCCCACGGCCCTCAGCTACCTGCGCCACGGCCAGGTAAAGCCAGCCAAAGTCATCAGCCGTGTTGCCAAGAGAAACGAAGGGCAAGCTGGTTTGCACTGAGCTCCTCAATGACCTGGCAGACTGACTGCCCTTGTAGGTGGCTGCCCACCTTGGCATATTCTACCTCAGGACATGAGAATTCTCCCTGGGGCAACGGGCTACTTCCAACTTCCTGCTGGCGAGGATGAGTGGCACCAACATCCCCTCTCACCTTCAACCAGCCACAGCAGGTCACCCCTCCCAGGAGCCTTCTGGGTCTCATAGGGAAGCCAGGCCCTACCTCTGCCCTTCACTTTATGGAGATCCTCCTGTCCACAGAGCAAAGGGCCATCCAGCTCAGGCCACTCCTCCATCTATGTGGACGGAGGCCACGCCACGGCAGGAAGCAGGAGCTTCTTCCAGCAGCACAAGTCCCCTGCTGGGAGGGCGCAGAGCCCACCTCCTCTTGCCTAGCCCTATCCCAAGGGCTCACTATCTGACATTATCAGGTGAGGATCACCTCCCCAGGCAGGATCAACTTTGAAAACCTAGATCCAGACATAAGATTGGAGGCATAGGGGTTCAGGAAGGGCAGCCTAGGCAAACAGTGGGTATCCTCAACCACAGGCTTCCCTGGAGAAAGGGAGGACATGGGACTGTCCTGGGCAGACAGGACTAACTGGTCACCAAGGCAAGGCTAGGAAGATAGGAAGCGTACAGCAGGGTTTGTTTGATTGTTTGTTTGTTTGGTTGGTTGGTTTGGTTTTGAGACTCGAACTCTTAATTGAAAATAATTTTCCCCCCAAAGTACACAAGACAGGGTTTGCTCCGTGAGGAGTGGCAGTGAAGGAGACAGCTCTCCGTGAACACTCAAAACCTGACTAACAGAACAGGAGGGGGCACAAACAGGGCAGGGTTCCGGAGTAGGTGTCAAGAGATCCAGTGGGCAATCGTGTCCAGGACATTTAATCTCCAGCTGTGAGCTGTTTGTGCCAGTTGGAGTGGCAAGGCCATAAAGAGAACTCCACAGACAGGGTGGCATCCCCTCCCCCAACCCTGGCTGACCCCACCCCAGCCTGAAACAGGAGAGCAGCAGCCTCTTCTGCATGGCATTTTCTGGGCACGCAGAGCTCTTTGGAAGCCACCAGCTGCAACAGAATGGAAAGAGCCCTTTCCTGGCAGTCGACACCTGATTCTGTTTTCATTTCCGTCCCCTCTGACTGTACGACCTTAGTCCAGCCCTTGACCTTCTCTCAAGCATCAAGTGTGGAAAAAGGTTCCTACTGCTCTCCTCCCTCCTCACTGTGAGGGTCACTGAGGCACACCTGGCTTCCAGCCGCTCTTCCTGACTCAGCCCAACCGATGGTCCCCAGGGGTCTCGGTGCTGGCTTCTGGGGTGAACTCACAATCTGCCCCAGTGCTGGGAGTCGCTGGACCTGCTCTAGATAAACGCTTGATTTTCTGTGCATCTTCTTCTTGTGCATCTCTGTCCTCTTGAGCAGAGCACCTCGAACTCTGAAGTTAAACCTCTTTCCCGGCCTATTTTTATGGAATTCACACACCCTCAAGGAACTTCAGCCAGATGTTCAGATGCCCAGAGGAAAGGAGGGTGGAGGTCACTCAGAGGCAAAAGACCACAGCAACCACCAGGTGAAGGCCCTGAAGACCAACTGCCTTGGAAGAGTTTCCAGGCTTGAATCCCTGAAAGGATCAGCAGTCCTGAGCCAGGAGTCTAAGGACTTGGGTGCAAACACTGCCCCTGTAATTTACGAGGTTCCCTCTCTAAACTTCCGATGCATCATCATGGAATCAGGTGGGACAGGTGGGGTGGGGTGGATACAAGGAATAATAAATATTCTGCCTGCTCTGTGGGGCTCTAGGACTAAATGAGATATTATGGCAGACCTTTGTAAAGTATAAAATGTAATACCAGCCAAATGTGAAAATCAAAGGAAATGTTTTTTTCCTTGTGGCAAAATACATACAATAAAATCTGTAATTTTAGCCATTTTATCTGTCTAACTCAGTGAAATCAACTATATTCAAAACATTTTGCACCCATCACCACTATCTTTTTGCACAACTTTTGCACGCCCCCCAAACAGAAACTTGATCCATGAAGTAATAACAACTCCCTAATCCCTGTCCTCAGCTCCAGGTAACATCTAATCTTTCTGTTTCTAGGAATTTGCTTATTTCAGGTACTCCCATGTACGTGGGGCAGTGTGACACCCGTCCCCCTGTGCCTGGCTTGTGGACCCGGGCATGATGTTGTCAATGTCCGTCTGTTTTTCTGCTGCTGGACACTTGGGTGATTCCCACCTCCCCGCACCGTGAATAACGCTGCAGAAAAACATCGGCCTGCGAGCATCTGCTTGAATCTTGTTTTCGATTCTTTTCCAGAGTGGAGTAGCCGGGTGCATGATAATTCTATGTTTGGCTCTTTGAGGAGCAGTCACACTGTTCTCCACAGGGCTACCACTCTACCTCCCCACCAGCAATGGACAAGGGTGTGGGTCTCTGGGTTTTGTTCTCGAGAGCCTCCTAGAAGACGTGAAGGGGGACACAGACGTTTTAAAGACACACTGTAATCATCAAACAATGAATATGTGAATTCAGTGTCGGCTATACGCAAATTGCTTCATTTGGAAATGTTCCCTGAGTGAGGCACACTGCATGTCCAGGGGCTCAGGTGAGGAATGGCAAAGCTGAAAATAAAAATGAATATGAAATTAAATAAGCACCTTAGAACCAACCAACTGAGCAGTCGCAAGACCAATGCCCACGTAATTATAGATGGTGAGCAGGGACTCCAGACTCCTGGCTCTAATACCTCCCTGTTCTTTGCTCAAGTTGCTCATCTATAAAGCTCACATTGCAGTCTTTACTTGAAATCCATGAAACTACATTATCCTAGTTTTTTGCTGGTGGCCAGCATACACACACCAGGATGAAATCCTGCTCTGTCCACTGCCTTTGGCCCCTCATCATATCTTCAGCGCTCCCTGGACTGTGCAAATTCGGTTTGTTATTTAGATGATGGAGGTGATGCTCATTGTAACTGAGAGGCTTATTCTGAAGACCTATTTTCTTTCCTTCCTCTCTTTTGGTTTGTTTCTTCGCTTCCTGGTGTTTTAGCACATTTTCATTTTTCTCTTGTCAAGGAAAGAAAATGAAGCAGACTTCCAGCCTCCCAGCTCACCAGCTGCATTTAGTTGTTTATTCTCAGATCAACTAATGGCCAGACAGGGAGGCTGGCTGGGGGAAAATAATCAAAACATGAGGAGTTATAGCCCTGTGAAGTCCAAGATGAATTTGAAGTGTCTGGAAACTATAATCCACGTCGAATGGAAACAGGACTATAATTAAAAGAAAGAGAAAAATAGGCTATTATCCACAACACTGGGTTTAGTATTTAAAGAGGGGACACAGGCATTCCAAGAACTAAAGCCGTTGTGAGCTCCAGATCAGACAACAGCTGCACTGCCACATCTGGAGGACAGACCCCCCACTCCCTTTCTACCTGTTCTTCCCAGAAGACCTTTATCTTCAGCTGAAAATGACCACCAGAAACACAGACTGTGTTCCCACCTCTCCTCTCAGCTCAGCTTACCAGTACAGCTCCCTAACTGATATGGCTTCCCTTACCAACATGGTTACAAGTGCAACTTCTGGAAAGCATCTTTAGTAGAAAGATATGCACCCTTTCTTCCCTCTTGTTTGTTAGCTGGACAGTGAATGGAATATGAACAGATCCAGGGTTTCATGGATCTCATACTGGCCTCTGCTGGATTAATTCCTGATTTGCTGCTAGAAGGTGGGGTAGGGGTGGGTGGGCAGCGGGTAAGATCTGTCAGTTGAAGTCACTACCAATGTGAATTTTGGGTCATTCATTGTTAAATCTACCCTTCAGTCTCTGGAAGAATAACTTGCATTCAATCAACAGTTGCAATTATCACAATGACAGCTGTAAATGTTGGAGGTGTTGCCTTCCTCACATTTTGGGGAAGGTTTGGAGTCTCAAAGCTCATATAAGAAAGAGGATGGGGACATGAACATGGCACAAAAGCAGGCCCGCTGGGAAGAGACACACTCGACATATAATACATGCAACACACACATTATATAGAACTATCTCTCTCTCTCTCTCTCTCTCTCTCTCTCTCTCTCTCTCTCTCTCTCTCTCTCTCATACACACACACACACACACACACACACACACTGTTCTGGATAGATGGGTAAAATCCCATGCAGTGGAGAAGGCACTGAGGCAGGGTAAGTACAGACCCCTCGCTGGAGGGTGGAAGCAATTTGCCAATATGTATCACAATCTTAAAACTCTTTATTTCCTATTATAAACCAATTTCAGTTTTAGAGAAGTACTCTAAGGACAGAATGTGGGCAAAGAGTGGTGTCCAAAATGTTCTCTGTAGCATCGGGCGGCAGCAGGCCTCTGGACCTGAAGAGCCGGGCATCTGATTGGCAGGTAGCTGGAACCCTGTCGCAGGAGTTGGCTGTCACTAGGAGGCACTCCTGAGACGGCGGGCACCAGGGACAGAGATCAGGGGCGGTAGGCAAGGGGACCGCCTCGCGCCCAGACCTGTAGGTCAGTCTGTCGGCAGGGAGGGAGGGTCACCCACGGGGGCCACAGGGGCCGCTGCAGTGACCGGCGGGAAGCAAGGCTCAGTGGGGCTGCTCCTCGGGGAGATCTTGGCTGGGCCTAACACCGAGGGATGGAGACGACGACGGGATTGGCCCCCCGGGTCTTGGGCCTGGAGAGGACGGGAGGCAGCCGCGGCCGGGGTGGGTGTCGGCGCGGAGGTGGTGGGGAGCTGCTGCCCCCACGTGGCTGTGCAGAAGGCGAGCATTATCAGGGGCTGTGAACAGGACAGCAGGGACGCCTGAGATGGGGCGTCTGGTTAGATGTCTGCAGATGGGGACATGAGCCCATGAAAGCTGTGCCACAGGCCCGGAAATAACCTCCGTGTACAACGAGGGGGGACCAAGGGAATGATGATTGTCTCCCACCTGTGCGTCTGGTCCTATCTGTGCGCGCTCAGTCCTCCTGGTACCCACAGGGCTGAAAGCCGGAAACCGCATTTCTCAGATTGGCACAAATGTCCACTGGTTCTTGGTGGAGGTGGGCTGTGTGAAGTTTGCAAGGTACAAGAAAAAATGTGGACGTAGTTTCCGGTGGCGCTGTGGTGGGCATCAGCGCAGGCTGGGATTCTCCCCACACCCTCAGGCGCTGCAGGAAGCCAAGCGGCACATACAAAGGTCACACACCTTACACCCTGTATGAACCGTCTTCACGTGAAGACACCTGGAAGGGCCTTCTGTTTCTGTGACCCAAGTCAGACTGAGTCAGCACTCAAGAACCTGAGTTCTGCTTCCATCCAGACTTGGTCCAACCCCACATCAGCATTTAACTGTGGCGAAACCTTGGGCAAGTTCCCTCAAATCTTTCTCCGCGGTGTTTTTTTTTTTTCTGCAAAATGGGTTAATAATAGAGTCTATCTCATGGGGCTCTCCCATGGGTTAAATTACATGATATCACATACCATCATTATTGAATATTGCTCAATCAAATTAGTAAAATATTAGGAGTAAAAGGGGAGAGAACTTACATATACAGGATGATCTCAACTATGTGGAATGCACAAATGGGAATATACTGATATTTTCAGCATATTGATATGTAGCAAACATTTTTAGTATTTTTTTCCTCTAGATAATGAGTTTCCATATGATTTCATTTTCTTCTTTTTTATTTTTTGCATTTTTAATTTAATTGTCCATAATAAGTATGTAGGTATTACTTTACAAAAGAATAGCATGTAACATTATAAAACAGCCTGCAGGAAAAGTCACTTAAATACACATTCAACCTCAACATCATGCACAAGCATAAGGCCTTATGTGAAGAACATACCCAATGGATACTGTCCCCTTGGAGTCTGTTTCACCGTCTTTTTAAAATCCAACTTCTATGGAGGCTCAGGCTTAATAACCCATTCAGGAGCAGATTCAGAGGCATCTTGGGTTTTAGGTTAGACATCCTCTCCATTGGCTTTGACAGTCAGTTCTGCAAAACAGAGTAGCCATACTTGAGGGTTTACAACTCCTTTGCCTCAGCACAAGCATTTGCATGCCTCCTTTTTCTTCCCAAAGGGTCTGGGTTTAGAGAGTTATATGTATGTCTATCCCATCCAAGACCTCGCCATCCAACAGTGAGTCTGTGTACAGCCAACTGCATAACCTTGCTCCCTATTAACAGCCCAAGAACTGCATGCAATTTGGCTTTTTGTTGAGCTTTCTGGCTGGAGAGGTTGCATCTCACATCCAAGTCAGCAGAAACTGCCACACCTTCTGCTTTTTCCTTTCCAAACAAGGTCTCTCTGCAAGTCTTTCTTTCAAAAGTGAATCTTCCGTTCCACACAATGTTAACTTCTTGTATAACTCTGTTCATATCTAGGTGTATATAAGATCCCACCTGCTAAGGAATGCCAAGCACTCTGCTCAAAGGGAGCCTCAGAGTCTTGTTCTTCTCTGTCTCACCAGGGCCTTGTGCAGCTGCGATTTGTCAAAACACAACAAACCTTGACTGAACTGAGCTAGGGTTACTGAGTTACTAACAGAGATGATGGAGAGAATCCATTATTCGGGCTTATCCGTTAATCATTTTCACGGATGTTGTTTCCCAATCAACATCTTGAGAAGAAATATTTTGGTAGGAATTTTTGTTTATTTTAATTTCCTTTTTTGTGCCTTCATTGTACTTAGAATTGGGCCAGCATACAGCAGAGGTACCATCCATCAAATGAATCATCCAGCTGTGTGCTAGGAGAAATAAACAAAAGATCATTACAGGGACATTGGTTCAGGCTTTAATGAAAAAGGGAAAATAAAATATATGTGTGGCATGTTTGTATTTGTTTGCGTATAATCTTGACAACCTTACCACTCACCTTGATTCTTTGCCCGTTACCTGCACCTGTGTGGTTCACCTCTCTGCGTGAGCATGTGGACTCTTACTTTAAGAGGGCTAAGTGCTGATCTGAAGGTTAAGGCGATGGAGCTCATCCCTAAGATCCTGCAAGGACCCTTGAAAAGCTGAACAAGACAATCCTGCATAACTAGTGCTAGATGTGCACCATAATCTTGAAGGACAAAGAGGACAAACAGTCACAAAGGGAGGCCTAATGGCAGCTGTGAGGCATCAGCTGGGTCTGGGATGTGGAGATGAGCCAGAGGATTGCTTTTCTGGACAGAGACAGAGCTGTGGGCCCCTAACAGAGGTGTCAAGATCCCCAGTCGGGTGCAAAATCAGCAAGAAGTCCTCAGAGCTCAGAAGCAAAGGAAAAAGCCCTACAGACATGCTTCCGGGATGTCCTGAGTGACTTGTGCAGAAAGACAGATGCTCTTGTGGACCAAGGTCTGGATGGACCCTTGCTCTGGAGCAGAAACTTTATTCACATCTCCTGAACTTAGACTCCAGGCGGGAATGGAGGAGTCCGCGTTAACTGAGAATGGCTCGATCCTGGTGAAATCAACATTAGGGAGAGATCTGGAAAACAGAGAGAGCTGTCTCTTGTACATTTTTGTTGGTGGACTAAGGAATACCTGCTCTATGTGTGTCTGTGACCATCAAAACATGTCACAGTCACCCAGTGTGCATGCCGCTGGCTTGGAATGGAGCAGGGAGGTCAGCCTCCAGGGCCAGCCATGGCCTTGCTGTGCAGACGATGCATCTGAGTTTTACGTGCAAGACTAGGCGGGTGGGGTGGTGGGAGGCTTCACAGGACGGCAGAGCAACCAACGTCTGCCTGGAAGCTCCCCTCTGCCAGTGTGAACTTGGTACACCCTTTACCCAGTCCAGCCTGAGCTGCAGAATTGGGTAGTGAGTCTCAGGATGGCAGCCAGTAGCATCTGTCAGTTTGTTAAGCTACCATTTGCCTCAGCTCCTCCTGGACCAGATGAACAATTCTCCCTGAGGTGCTTAAGTTGACATTTCTGTTCCCAATCCAAACATAAAAGAGAAGATGTTAGCACAGCAAAATCAAAGAGACGCAGAGACCATGGCCCTTCCAGGAACCAGCATGCTTGATACCTTGGCATACAACCCACGGCCACTGGTACACAGCCACACATGCTCCACAATAAATATGTGCTCTTTGTTTTTGAGGAAAATTCAAATCAATGCATTTTTATTACATCAGACTTGTGTGCCTATATTTCTTGCTAAAATCAAGTTGGTTAGCTTTTCCTTCATGAAGGGATCCTGCCACCTGGAAAGAAGGCCTGCCAGTGGAACGAAGAGCAGATCTGACCTGCTCTCAGAAATGCCCCCTGAACACCAACCTGGGAAACAGGCAGCCTGTGTCGACACAGACCCCCTTTCTCAATTCTCTTGAAAAAGGAGTTGGAGAGCTCAGCTCAAATCACCCACAAACAATTTTGCAGACATCTTCTGGGGGGAGATAAAAAATATCTCCAACACCAGAATTATGGAGTGGCATTTATGATTTGGCCCTTTCCCCAACATCTCAGGGTCCTAAGGGAACCTACCAATCATAGCACCTGGCCACTACTCACTGAAGGGAGGCAAAGGGATCCCACTACATTGAGGCAGGACAAAAATTGGAAATGTCAGCTCACATCTTTTGTTTTATTGCTTTTCTTTTTCTTGTGATTATAAATAGGACTATAGACTGGGAGGGTCAGGCTCTGAAAGAGGTTGCTTCAAAAAAAATCAGAAATAGGAGATGATTTGTATTAGCTATAATTTTATTTTGTCTTTTTTTCTTTCAAACTAATCAGTAATAAGATCTTTAAGAAATCTCTAGTGGATTTTTTTAGAGTTAAAAAAAAAATCACAGCAGTCCCTGTTATCTAGTTTTGCTTACCACATTTTCAATTACACACAATCAGCCTGAAACAATTAAATAGAAAATTTCTGAAATAGACAATGTATAAATTTTAAATAGTGCACCATTCTGAGTAGCAAGTTGAAATCTCACAGCATTCCCCTATAACCTGCCTGGCATAGGAATCATCCCTTTGTCCAGTGTATCCTCACTGTATACACTACCCCCTCCTCTTGGTCACCAGGCAGCCATCTTGATTATCAGATCCACTATTGTGGTATTGCAGTGCTTGTTGATAAGATGCAGTACTACTGCAAGTTAGTCAGCCACTGGGCTTTTGGAGCAGTTCTCCCTGTGGATAATCTGGGCAGTGGGGAAGCTACTGTCCCAATTCTATTTCGAGGAAATCACACAGGCCTGAGGAGGAAGCAAATAGAAATATCAACAACTCCATGATCTGGTTGGTAGGATTATTGGTGAATTTCACCGGGTTTTGTTTTGTTTTTTGTTTTTTTGTTTTTTTACTTTGGTGTGTCCTCAAGGTTTAATTTCACAATTATAATTTTACCTTTGTGTCTTGGGGGAGGGAAAGACATTTGTCAGTGCCTGTGAGGAAAAGGTAATACTTTGAAACCACATGTTCTTTAATAATTGTGGCAGGATGCACAGAACATTCTAGGAGTGTGAAAATGAGAAGACTGAATGGCATCTAGGGTTTATCTCAGACTGAAGAGCTGGGGTCCAGCCCGGTCCAGTCCCCAGAGCCCAGATAGAGTGCTCCTCGGTTCCACACTCTCTCCAAAGGTGCTTCTGCTGGTTTGCAGATGTTTCACCAGCTGTGGGTTTGCATTTGGCACAGCCTGCCGTGCCGTGTGATGGCACAGAGGCAGAATGGCTGGGGCATCTGGAGGGGGCACCTGTGGAGGTGACAGCTCCCTCCACCAAGCCCCTGGGAATCCAGTGACCCTGAGGCAGGGCCAACAGGAGGACCTGGAGCAGGAGGGGAACACGGACACTGTCTATAAGGGGCACCAAGCTGCACGGGAGGCTGTTGAAGGACACTCCTGCTGTGGGGGGCATGGGGCCAAGGCTGTCACTGAAGTCAGGGGGTAGTGAGGACTGCAGAGCTGCAGGTCAGAGTCTGACAAGGAGGAGGGGACTCTGTTGAGCAGCACCCCCAGCAGGCCTCCGAGTGGGGCTGGGTCCTGGCCTCCGTGCTCTTCCTGACTCCTGATGCATGGGCTTGGCTTAGCACCGCGCCTGATGCAGGAGTCTATACCCTGAGCCCAGGAGGAAGGGCTGTGGGCTTCTCACGGGGCCCAGTGGCCCCCCTGTGCCCTCCTGGTTCCCGAGCTGTGCAAGGCGCTGTGCAAGGGCCCTGGAGGAGCTGCAGGGTGCTTAGGAGAGGGGTCAGAGCCAGCACCGGCCCATGGGACAGTGTTGGGACCACAAGGCGGTGCAGCTGGGACCTGGAGAGCATAGCAGCAGTGTATGCTGTCCTGGACACCTGGCCCTCTACCAGACACAACTTCACGCGGACAGCACCAAGTCCTCGGCCACAGCACAGAACAACACGAACCAACGTCTGTCCCCGTGTGTAACACCCAGGAAATGGCGTTTTAGGTCGCTCAGTGAACACTGTTGAAGACTGTGGGGGTGCTCACCTGTGAGCTGAGCAGCCCCCGGCTTGCCTCGGACAGTGCTCCTGCTGTCGATCTTGCCGATTACCATACCCACCCGTGGAAGTCTGTATTTTCAAATATTGGGCTGATGACCTCGACCTTAGACCTTTACCTCTGTGGCCAATGCAACGTCGTCACCACAATGTGGCACCCTGTCTATCACCCGTCTGTCACCTGGGCTCCCTCCACACGCCTGCCTCTGCATGTCCTACTTCTAGTACCCTGATCCAACAGCTCTTCAACCCCACTGTAACCCCAACACGGTGACCCTGCCACCCTGCACTACTGTCTCTCCCTCATGGTCCCTGGGATCCATCGTCACCAGTGCCCTCACTACAACAAAACGCCTTTGCTGCTCCCTCCCTCCCTCCTTCAGGCTAACCAGGTTCTCAAGTTGAACAGCTCAGATGTTTTTGTACATTTCTGTTTCTTGCTTTCTTCTCTCTTTCCAAACTGACAACACCTTTCTATCTTCTTTTCCACCCTCAGCTGATGACCTTGAGTAAAAGATCAGTCAGAAGCAAGCCTCCTCAAAACCTCCCAGCCCACAAAACCCCTCTGTGCGAATTCGGCCTTCTTCAGGTTTGCACTGGATCCATCGTCCACGCTCCTTCCACAGGCTCCTTTGGCTGGCTTGGAGAAGGGTCTGGAGAAACCCAAACACTCACACTGCTGAATGCTGACATAAGATGGTGCAGTCACTTTGGAAAACAGGTTTCCAGTTCCTTAAGAAGAGAACACGCCCGCACAGGGAGCCTCAGGTCTCCACCCAAGGAGAGTGAGGACGTCCCCACAGACTTGCAGGTGAGACTCACACGGCACTGTTCACCTCAGACGCAGAGCACGGCCATCTAATGTCCACCAGCTGGTGAAGAGCAAACGCGTCTGGAGAACTCAGCTGCGGTGCCACTCAGACACAGGAGTGCGCGACTGCTCTGCGCCATGATCTGGATGAACCTCAAAATGCAATGCCAACGGAAGGAGCAGGACTCGAGGTCTCCGCACGGCTGGAGCCCTCTGCGTGAAGTGTCCAGGGAAAGCCGGTCAGGGCTGGCGGGGGACTGGAGGCCAATGGGAGTGAGGGGCCTTCGGGGGTGACGGAAGGGACCTAAAATGACTGTGGTGATGCTTGTGCAACTCTAAATCTGCTGGAAACATGCTCTTTTTATTTTTAAATGGATAAATTTTTGTGATGTATAAATTATACCTCAGCAAAACTATTTAAAATATGGACAAAAATAAATAAATCCCAAATGTGATCATTTTTCAAAGCTTCTGCTGCCACCCACCCCAGTCACTCCCATTTCTTGCCTACGTTAGTTAGTAGTTTAAGTGGAATCTCTGTTGCCACTCCTAACCCCTTAGAACTGTGTTCTCCCCACAGTTAGCAGAAGGATCCTTTAAAGATGTAAAACAAATTACACCATGGCTCTGCCCAAACGTCTCTAACCCTTCCTCATTCTACTCCAAAGAAAACTCACAGCACGCTGTGGCCCCAAGGCCCCTGTGGGCTCCCTGGCCTTCTTGCCTCGCCCCTGGGATGTCTTCCAGTGAGGTGTCGGCACAGCCCGCTGGCTTCCTTCTGGCCCATGAGATTACCAGAGAAGACATCCTGACGCATCCCTCCCCACACGCCCCGTCCTATCCCATAACCTCCTGCACGTTTCTTGATGGTATCCACCACCTCCCGGTGCTGGGAGCCATTAGCCAAGTAGGTATGACAATTTCCTTGCCAGCGTACCCCATGTTGCAGTGACATTGAATGTAGGTGACCTTGCTCAAGGACCAAGGCGGATTAGGGTGTTCCCGGTTTAAGATAATCGGGTTTAGGGCGTTCCTGGTTTAGGTTCCAGGTTTAAGGTTTAAGATTATTCCTGCTGGGAATAGGGCGTATCCTGCTGCCTGAGTTCCCCTTGAGTTCTCACGGGATTCAGACAGTATATTTTGGAGATAGAAGCCCAGTGGAGGTGGATTTGGGCAGAGAACGTGGATTTCCCCAGAACGTGATTGTAGACGGCTAGTGTGAGTTCGGGAATAAAGAGTTGCTGTTTGAATCTACAAGCTGTGTGGTGGCTCGTGATTGTGTGCCCAGCCAGACTGCGGCATTTGTGCCCAGCCAGACTGCGGCATCCCGGCACAGTCTGGTCTGAGCGTGCGAGAGAGTGTGCGTTCCCACTGCTGCCCCTTCTAGAAAGGCAATCTTCTGGTATCTACTTTGCTCATCACTGAGCCATTTGGCTCCCTTATGCAAGGCAGGCCATGCTATTTACAGAGGAGGAAATGAAGCAATTTATTAATAGTCACAGAGCCAACGACTATCCAGGCTAGAACCTGAGGCCAGGGCCTCTCTGTCCCAAAGCTGTGAGTCACTTGATAGCTGAAGTCTACACTCATTCCATCAAGACAGCATCAAAGAAAAGTGGCTAAACAGGTCCACTCGACAGAGCTTTGTTATTCTGTTCATTTTAAATCAAAGGTAACGGTCTTAATGATTTTGAATCCCTTGATTCTTGGTATGTCAGCAAAATCTGTGTCGTGCAAACACAAGAGACGTTGCTGCCGCTGTCTTGCCTTCCCAGCACGGGCTCTAGCCATCAGAGAAGCCAGTCCCAAGACTCTGTAACCCGAAATAGACACAGCTCAGAAAAATTGAAAATTCCATGCACTTAGATAAATTCTTTTGGTGTGTGTACAACTTTCCTCCGCTGGCCCACCTGGCTTCTTGTCACTGCCCAGGAGGTGGAGAAACGCCTCCTTGGTTAGAAGGAACGAGAAGCCCAAACCTTTCATCTCTCATCTTTAATTTAGCATCAGGATCAGAAGGGTAGGAACATAAAAGATAGATGACATTCATTTGTCACCATCTCCCTCTTCCTCCAGAGCCTAAAGCACAGTGTCAGAGCCGCGTGTGTGATTTATTTGTGTGATCAGGAGATGACAACACTTTTAAAATGGTGTTTGTGTTCAAAATCTGTACACACAAAATGTAATCCAGAAAGGGTACAGGATGCTTATTTGCAAATTTTAATCTCAACTCAATGTCAAGAGGCTGGTTTTAGTTTCCTTTCTTCTATCTCTTCTTGTGTATTTTAGATATCTTCCCAACTTACTTATGGAGTGTGGACCCAGTTGTGACCCAAGACATTGTGAGCATATTGGTGCCAGAGATAAAGGAACAAAAGGGAACGGTGGCCCCCAGGGCCACGATGGTGTGAGGTACCTCTCCAAAACACATCCAGGAAGCCGGGCTAGCTGCTCTGGTGCTTCCCCAAGATTTTGCCAATTGCACAGAAAGACAAACCAGGCTACCCTCCGCCGTCTCTCCTGAGTTTCAGAAGGTGAGGGATGAGATGGATGGCACTAGGCTGAAACCGTCCCTGCACTGACTCCTGGGGAGGGAGCAATACCCTGCAGCCCACCACCCCCAGCCCAGGCTGGCTCAAACCAACACCAGGCTTAAAAGAAGAGTTGTGACGGACGGAATCGTGGCTGATGGGGGAAGCTGGTTCCATTCTTCAGGCTTGCTAGGGTAGCTGCCATAGAAGAGAGTCCTTTCTGTTCTTCATCTACAGCTGTCCTAACAAAACAGATTTAAGTTCCTTGCAGAAAACGCATACGGAATCCCTCAGGCTCCTTCTGGAGTCATCTCAACACTGCCTGGCAGAGGGGGCACGGCGTACCCGCCTTGACATGGCTCGTGGATGCTTTTCAATGAAGCGTAAGAGCAACTCCGTATTTCCACATAAAACAGTAAATCACGTTTTCTTAATAGCAGCTGCAGCTGGAACACATCGCCCCTGCACACTGTCCTAGGATTGTCCCAGTCTGTTCACAGGCCCTTGGTCTGGCTGTGCTGACTGAGGGTGACTTGCCTCCCCAGCATCACCCCTTGACTTCTGGGCCACACTCAGGTCCTCAGGGCTTCAAACCCTGTCTCTGTTTGCCAATGTCTCAGGAGAAAACAACGCCAGCGTTTCTGTAGTTCTGCTGGTAGTCAGCGGGACCTCCGCGTCCAGTTCTGAGAAAGCTGAGACCTGGCGGGAGGAAGGGATCACCGATCAGTGGACAAGGTTCCCAGTAAAGATCTGTGGGTGCCCTTTGTGGGTGACTCTTATCGAACCTTTTCTGATGATGAAGATCAGAAATGCTCAATGCAGAGTGCTCGAAGAACACCAAGGAGAGAAGGGGCCCAGGCCCGGGACTCAGCTGCCCTTGCCCTGGGCTCTGTGGTCTCAAGCAAGCGGCTGGCCTCTCCGTCTTCATTTGTAAACACTAGAACCCTCCCGCCTTCCTGCCTTTTGCTGTGACACTTTAGCAAATCAATGCAAGAAAAATGTCCTAAAAAAAGGGTTCTTATTTTCAGGGCATCAGGACAACGTGCCTGCAGGGTGTTCTGGGGGCTTTTGGTGTGTGTACAACTTTCCTCCGCTGGCCCACCTGCCTTCCTGTCACTGCCCAGGAGGTGGAGAAACGCCTCCGTGGCTAGAAGGAAAGAGGTGCCCGAACCTTTCATCTCTCACCTTTCCCTACAGCGCTATTTGTTATGTGAATTCCACAGGTAAGTGTGATCTAAATCCTATCAACTCTGTGAAATTGATTTTTCACAGTGAATGTGACCAGAAATCAGCTAGCCTCCCCACTTCTAGTCACCCTAAATCTTTCACTTTGAAGATAATCTGCTACCCCTCAGTGTGGTCAAGTTTAACTCTCCTGTGTTCTTAACGAATTCAGACTTAGATGCGATGAAAAAAGAGGATGAATTAAATGAATTCTTTTCCATATTTTGTATTATAAAGGGTTCATATGATCAGTTAGCAAGCAGGTGAACTTTCATGATCTGAACATGCATTTGTAACTAGTCTCAGACCAAGAAACAAACCCAGCTGCACCAAGCAATCCCTCTCTGATGACTTCCTTATTAAATATCACAAATCTACTGTACAGAATGTAAACTTTTAGAGTACACTGACATTTAATCATGCAAACACAAATTATAATCTAACATGCAAACCTGGTTTCTTGACAGATGTCAAAAGACAGTTGGTCTGAATGAGGTGTAGCTATTAAATTACTTTGTTGTTGTCAATCAAAATATTTAAATAATTCTGATTCCTCAAAGCCCAAGATAACTTCTTCCAAACAAACAGGCCACAAAGTTTGAGTTCTGTAATGTGCTAATAAGTCAGGGAATCCCAGTCAAGGGAGAAAACTAGCCACAGAAATGATGAGCGTACTGATGAGGTTCCACTAATAATCAATCTGCCTGTTGTATAAAACAACGAGTACTAGGGCTGATAGTCGGGCGGGAGGCGTGGCGTGGACCTAGGACCTCTCTTCCTCTGCACACGTTCCATGTGGACGTGCTCCATCCCAGCAGAGCCGCTGGCTCTCTCATAAAGCGCACAGAGGTGAAGCGAAGCTCTTCTCAAGCTGAGCTGCAGCAGCACACCGGGGAGGCCAAGGGGCAGGACGGGCCACAGGGTCGCTGTGCTCCTGGCTGTGGTCTGGGGCCTGCAGCCTCCAGGAAGAGTCGGGATGAGCACAGTGTGTTGTGACTTACTGTTGCCGCTGGTGTGGGCACAGGTGTGTGACGGTCACGGCGACTCTCCTGCCACTCCTTACTCCTCTAGGACACATGTGCAGTGTTTGCCTGGTGCCCTGCTCTCCGCCAGGCATTGCCGTGCAGCCCTGGGTAGAACAAACACGGGCCTGGCCAACACGGAGTTAGAGTCTGGTGGGAGGGGCAGCTTAACCAAACCGCCCTGGCCTTTCTACCTCGGCGACTTGTGCTCACATGGCTCCTACTATTTGCTACTATCTGCTTATCCTCCGTGGGCCAGACGACGCCCCTTCATCCGCGGCACAAACTCACACAGTGACCTGCACCTTCTCTGAGACCCAGGCACCACCAGCCCTACCCAAGTCACCAAATGACCTGAGTGCAGGTCACCACCAGCCTGCTTGATGTCCAGGACAAAGACCAGTGAGCAGGACCAGTGCCCTTCCCACTGAGCCAGGAAGCAACCCAGAGCTCAGCCAACCCAGCCAGGCAGCCACCCCCGGCCTCATGGAGCTGATTCTCTGAAAGAAATGTGCTGTCATCTCCGTCCTTCCATTTACCAGGCCATCTTCGGGGACCTCTGCCTTCTTTGTTGCTATGTCCTCATGGGTGGGCATCGTCACCTGTAACTACTGTCTGCCGACCAGCGTGGCAAGGGCTGTGCCTCGTGCTCCTCTGAGCAGCGCCGACTCAGCGACTGGTTAGTGGCGGCCCTGCAGGCCCCGTTGCCCGAGCGGCAGCCACACAGCAGACAAGACTAGCAATGAAAGGTCCCCAGGACCCACAGTTCAGGGCAGAGTCCCACGAGGGGCCTGAGAAAGCTCTAGAAAAGCCCTCACCCCTGACCTGTGGTGGGTGGTTTGCCAGAACTCTGCTCCCCAGCCCTCCCCGCGCCCACCCCTCCAGTCTTACGGAGTGGGGGCGCTCGGACCTGCACTGAGCAGATGACGGGGGCTCCTGGGGACAGGGCAGGAGGAGGGCCCTGCTAGAACTGGCCGAGATCACTGCCATCCACGGTCCTCCGGGCTGTTCTAGAAGGTGAGGCTTCTCCCCAGCGTCCCCTGCGGCACTTCTGCCTCAGGGAGGGCAGTCAGGGGCCTCGGAAGGAAGTGGCCGCACAGCCTTGGCAGCTGCCCACAGCGTGACCAGAAATCAACACACGTTGGTTGACGTCTCTCTGGGGGCGGGGGACAACTTCCTCCTACCTGAGATTCCTCTGAATTTCCTCCCCTGGCCTCCCACCCTCCACTGCCCAGCACAGGCTGGCTCCTCCCCAGGAGAGGAAGGCGAGTCTCGGGCCTCCCGGCCTCTCCCACCAGGCCCCACCTCTCAGCCCTGCCAGGCTCCGTGCCACCCAGCGCCCTTCCCTTCCACCTGGTCTCTTTCCTCTCCTGTCAGACCCCCCCTGCTCCTCTTTGCCTCCCACTGCCTGTGACAAAGCCCTTCTAAAATAGCACTGGTGACTCACCGGTGGAGACTCTGAGACTCCATTTATATGTACCCCCCTCCAAGGGGCATGAGGCGTCCACAGATCTCAGTCTTATTTTTACTCGTTCTTGCTGAAGGATCGTCTGTCAGAGGGGAATAAAAGTGTCGTGTGGCCTTTGTCTGAGTTACTCCCGTGAGGACTCGGCTGACAACCGGTTTTCCTCTCTTCAGGCCTCTTCCTTCCCACCTCCCTCTCCTTGGTCTGTTTCTACTTCTGCAGGATTAATTAGTAACTGCAGCAGAAATGAAACCAAAATCTTCCCAGTCCGTTGTGATTTGTTTTTAGTCGACGGAGCTAGAAAACAGGGGGGGCCTTCATTCCTGCCCCTGGTTCATTCCCACACCCAGGGAGGAGCCCGCCACGCCACACTGCCCAGGCCTCTTGCTCTCACCTCAGGACTCCTCTCCTCCAACCTGCACCCATGCAGTGGTCACCTAGCTAGTCCCACTGCCCTTGACCATCTCCTACACCCTCCAAGTTGCTGTTCTAAGCCTCAGCTCTGACGGTGTCGTTCCCTGGGCCCCTTGGTTTAAGTCTTCCTGAGTCCTGTCTCTGGGCCTTCCCAATCCAACTTCCAGCTACTCCATGACCCCTGGGCCCCTAACCCCCATGCCGACTTCCCCGGAGTGGATTCAAATGCCCTCTCGTCTACGGTCTGTACCTTTTTGTCTTCACTGCTGAGGGAGAGATGCATAGGAGATGGTGTCTATTCACTGGACTGGAAGCCTGTGCTGTCCAGTCCCCGTATTGGGCACCAGGGGCACCAACCTCACAGTCCCCACCTTGACCACCAAGTAAGACAGAAAATAAAGATGAATAAAAATAGTGTTTCAGGACTACTGACCAGGACAGAAGCAACCCCCGGGTCTGAGCAGGCGCAGCAGAGGGGCCTCACCTGGACAGAGGACATCAGACAGGTCTCCGGCAGGAGGGGAGCCCCGAGCTGGGCGTTGGGAGCATGTGAGTGGGAAGGGATTTGAGGACCGTCTTCGCGACGATGGGACTGCGCTCCGCCAGGGTTCAGACGGTGGGTAAAACAGAACACTTGGCTTGTGGGCCTGAGTCTGCGCTGGAAGCTCATTGCTCCTCGGTCCTACCTCCACTTCCTCGGGGTGGTTGGTGCCAAGTTTGTTCCCACAGATTTGATCTTAGCCAATAAAAATAATTTGTGATGAATTTCATAATCGTAATTGTCCTCCCCCAACCCTGGCTGCCCGCAGCCCAGGAATGGACAGAGGAGCAGGGCACGTGCAGCTGAGCCCCACCAGAGCTAGGACAGGTGGACCTGCCCCTGTGCCCCCGCCTGTGCAGGAAAGGAAAAGGCTGCCCCCTGCTGGGTGGCGGTCGCAGGTCCCCCAGCCCAGAGCCCCCTCCCTGCAGGCTTCCTGCTGTGGCTGGTTCTCGGCCCTCAGCGTCCACCCAGCAGCCCCGTCACGTCCCATAGGCTTTAAAACCAAGCGGCAGTCCTCGGTCTGGCAGATGTGGACCCTCGTGACCGCTCCTCTGCCCCTCAGCCCGGCCCTCTGCCCCACTTCGCTGGCTGACCTCGCCGGGCCCTCAGTCCTGAAGAGATACTGCATGTCCTCCATGCACGGGGTCCCCTCGTGGCAGGCTCGCATGCTGCCCATGCCTCGACAGAATGAGTTTTCAGGCAGAACTGACCCCCGGGCCTCAGGATAAGGTCTAGACAGAGGAGCTCCTGGTGTCCCCAGCTCTACATCCTGTCACCTCACACGCTGCACCACATGTCCTCCCTGCTTGCTCCGTTTCCTCCTGTGTTGGCTCCTGAAGGCAAGGACCCAACGCCAGGGTCAGCCTTCACTTCTGCGCCCACCACCCCCAGGCTCCTGGCCTGTAGGGCCACAGCAAGGGCCTGTACTGAGCACATGAGAGGAGGCTGTCTCCTGGGGAAAAGTCCAGAGGGAGGCACTGCCAGAACCCCAGGGGACCTGGCTGCACTCACCCCTGTGTCTGCGGTCAGGCACCCACCGCAGAGCCTCCGCCCACGCCTACTGAATGACTAGGTGAGAGGGAAGACAGGAGAGGCCCTGGCAGCCACCAGACAGCCTCTCCAGGTGTCTGCACCTGAGGCTGACCTTGAGGAAGGCAGCAGGGCAGGCAGGCCTGGCTCCGGGGCTCCACTCTGACCTCCGTCCCTCACCGGCCAGTGCAGCCTTCTTATGCCTCGTTGTTTGTCTTTAAATAATGTCTGTTATGTGATTAAGTGAGCCCAATTTGTTAAGCAAGAACATGGTTCTGCTTTATAATAAAAGCTAGGTATTACCCAAAACTGAAACAGCCTTTATGAGATGAAAGTCAAGTGCTGCTGTCCCCTTCCACGCACCACGTCACTGCCGCCTCAGGAAAGCCCGACCTGGGCTCACGGGGTGCCCAAACACAGCACCTCGGGAAGCCCTCGGTCCATCCTGGGTGAGTCTGCTACCTTCACTCCTCATACAGCAAGAGTTTTATTCTGACTTATTAAAGCTGGTTTTCTTTAAAACACCTTCAAAGATTATGTGGTCACTCAGCAGTAAGAAAGGACAGGCGACCCCACCCCGGAGGCAACAGCTCAGGGTCCCACTCCAGCTCACAAGGGGTTCGACCTGAGGTGAGCTGGTTCCAGCAGGCCCCTCAGCCACCTGCACAGGTTCTCGACGCGCTGAGTGTCCCCAGGACCGGGCAGCACTGGCATGTCCTCTTCTACTGACACTGTCAAAGGGAGGGCAGCTCTTACTGTTCAGAGGCAGATGGAACAGGGCACGCCACCTCAGCTACCTGGAAAGCAAATCCACAAACACGAAGCCACCCAGCAATTCAAGGAGAACATAGGCGAGAGAGGGTCCGGGAACACTTAACCGTGCACTGCAGACTGCGATCACATCGAGAGATGCCCGTGTGACTCTGTCTGGGGACATCAAAAGCTAATTGGTAATAAAGCATAGCTTGTAAGACAGAGTGGTGACAATTAGTGAAACTGCCATTGGGTGGCGAGTTCTTTGCCCAGTTCAGAAAGCACTGATTTTAGCATCAGAGCACACCTGTCATCCCAGCTACCCAGGAGGTGAGGCAGGAGGGACTGAGCTTGAGGCCAGCCTGGGCCGCAGAGTGAGACAGAAAAGAAAGAAAGAGGGGGAAAGGGGGGGGAGGGATGGGGAGGGGAGAGGGGAAGGGAGGGAGGGGGGAGGGGAGAGGGGAAGGGAGGGAGGGGGGAGGGGGAGAGGGGAAGGGAGGGAGGGGGAGGGGGGAATGGAGGGGGGGAGGGGGAATGGAGGGAGGGAGGGAGGGGAAAGGAGAGCACTGAATTTTACTTTAGAACCTCTTTACACCACCACTCCAGTTCCTTCCAGCCAGACTCTGGGAGAGACGGAAGCCCTGCCTCTTCCTGCCTTTCCTACCCTCACAGCAGAGCTCAGAAAGAATCAGCTCCAGACCCAACTTGAGTGACACCACCCAGGTGGACGCTCAGGACGGGGACAGTGACAGCTGGATGATGGTGTCCCCTACTCTGCACCTCCCACTATGACCAAGGCGAGGTGAGGTAGACCTCGAGTGCCTTCGCACTGTCTCCTGACATCACAGCGGGACCCTCAGGGGTGAGTTGGGCTTTCCTCAGACACACCGGGTGGGGACCGCCTCCCCCGGATGCCATGGGACATCAGAGAGGCGCACTTAGGACAGAACGTCAGGGACGTGTTACCTTTCCCTCGTATAAGAGTAGGCCAGAGAACCATTCGCAACAATAAATATTTATTAATTACAGAATGTAAATGAAAACAAAAGTCGTTAAAATAGAAACCCAGGGAAACGGTTTTATTCAAGCAGCACTTGCGTACAAGGTGAGCGTAGCCTAATTAGTCCATGAGCTTGTGTCGGGAGCCTGGCGGCAGCCGGGAGGCCACTACCTAGACGGGGTCCCGGCTGTGTTGGTGGGCTGGGCCCTGGTGGCGCTGCTCTGGAGCTTGCTCCTTTTGGTGGTGGACCTGCTGTCCACGCTTTTGACCGCTGACTTCACCCACTCGGCTTCTGGATTAGCACATACTTTCAGGCCACGTTTGGTAATAAAACTGTAATGCAAGAAGAGAGAGGGTCGGCCACAAGCTCTGAGCCCTCGGGTCAGGAGCCGCCCACAGACTTGAAGAGCTCTCAGGCACAGACTAGCAGAAGAAGTGACCCTTCAGACCAGGACACCACAAAGGAACAGCTCCCTCTCTGGCTTCAGCCCACGGGACCGTGCCTCCAGGAGTGCCGGGAGCCTTGTCCCACTGCCTTGCCTCCTGAGTTCCACCAGGTGTCACACCTGGCCTGGACCCTAGTGACCAGCTGTTCAATTACTATGCACCTGCCTCTTTCTCAAACCTACACATACTAATTTTTTGGATTAAAGTGATTTCTTTATTTCAATTCCTTTGGGCAACTCTGTGCCAGGGAGAGCTGCTCCTCCTGCAAAGGAGATCCTGGGGAGAGACTGGCTCTGCACAGGCTGCTCCGCACCCTGTGCCCCCGAGACTGCCCAAGCGCATGTGGCCTGGGCTGCCGTCTCTGCACTGGTCTCAGACTAGGCACAGCCTTCACCTGCTCTGCTCTTAGGTCAAATCAGGAAAGAGGACTCAGATTCCTATTTGGGTTAGACTTTGGCAATGACCATCATTTGGTGGGGCTGCGTGCGTGAAGACATGACCAGGGGGCCAGATAGAGGGCTGTGGGTCAGGCTGTGGCTCTCCTCCAGTTGACTGGTGTCCCCTGAGGCGCAGCACCCACTCTGCTCCATCTCCATATTGCTGTCCCCCCCTCCAAGCCCTCTGTGGGAGACACTCACATCACGGCCCTCACGGAGCCCTCCTTGATGGTGTAGGTCCTGATCCTGTTGATGGGCAGCCGCTGCGTGGACAGGCTCACACAGATGCTCCTCTCAGGGACTTCACTGCCCACACCTGGCGAAAGGAAGCAGAGAGACAAGATGGTCAGATTCAAGGCCATGGTATTGTTTCAGGAAATTTGTGGTGAGAGCAATTGAATTGTCATTGTCACATGGCATGTGTGTATTTTCACAGAGACACCGTGATGGGCAGCACACGGCCCAGTGATGCCCACTCATTCAGGGACACACAGCTCTTGCCGAGGGTTTCGGGCACTAAGATGGACAGAGATGGACCCTGGTTCCATGCAGCACATCTTCAAGGGGCGTCAGGTACAAAACAGGCAAACAGAGAAGATAATTTCCAATAGCTGTGTTACCGTGCTGCCTGTGAGATGGGAGGGTCGTGTGACAGAGAGTAAGGGGACAGGCTGCATTCAACGGGGGAGGCAGCTCATCTTTAACTAAAGAATGGATAAAGGTGTTCTTGTTTCGTGGCAAAATGTGAAATAGAGTTAGGGAAGGCTTCACCCTCAAAGGAGTGGCCGAGAGGAATTCAACTGGTGAGTTTGAAGGTGCATCTTACACTGCAGAGGGGAATGGTCTTGGGAGGGTCAGCCATATAAATGGTTGGGCAAGATCTAATCAAAGTTTCTGAGGGCCCATTTTCTCCTTATCTGTGGATACTGGGTGTGTTCACAGAAATCTCCACCCACAAAGCACCTCAAGCAGCGGCTGATAAGGCTCAGGTTGGGGTCAGAGGCTTTCTAAGGGCGTGCAGTGGACACCAGGCTCCTGCCCGGTTCCCGTGCCAGGCTGCGTGCCCTCCCTCTTCTACCGTTGCCGGTTTGTTTCTAATGCTGAGCTGCCTCTGAACTCAGTAAAAAGAAAAAATCTGGCTTCTTTTCTCTTCCCTTCACTGTTTAAGAAGCCATTTTTCTGTGTGTAAGTGTCTAACCGGGCCACCAGGACCCAGAGCTTCCTACTGTCCTCTAAACCACAAAAGCTTTCACGCACGCTCAGTGATGTCACGTGTCTGCTGTTAGTTGTTGAAGTTTGAGTCAAAGCAAAGATTGTTCTGCCCAGTTCTGAGCCAGTTCTGAACACAAGAAGCTGAGCACCAGGGGATTATAAAGCTCCTTCAGTAGGAAACTTGGGAACGTGAGGCCAGTGTCTGCGGCTCTCGGCCTCTCACAGAGCATCACGGCCCTGCCCAGATCTGCATCCCACCAAATGTGACACCTGTCATCTCAGAAAAATGCCAGCTCTACGGCCACATGTGGTGTAACTCGGCGGTCATGAGCTATTTTGTTTCATAAATATTTTGTTCTGCCCAATGTCACGGAGTCCTGGTCTTTGGCTCATTTACTCACAGACTCTTTACCAAGTTATGGCCTTATATTCCAAATTTACCAATAGGATACGGAAAAGTATAAAATAATTCCAGCCAGTAGGAGAAACTGATCCTTCGAGAAATGCCTGTTGAATGCCCAGACAAGACTCAGGGAATCTGAACCTTCTCTGGACATGACTTGCAGGTTTGTTGGATCATTTATAAGGTATTGATCTACCTGTTCACACCATGTAAGCTCCTACGAATTCAAGAAATTCATCCTAAAATGGTAACACTTTCAGCAGTAATAATAGACTTTCCCGCTTACTTAAAGGTAATTTGACTTTCTGGGTTTGAAGGTATGAGTTTCCATTTTTAGTTTGATTTTAATAAATATAAAACATTGATTTGCTTCAGAACATACATCCTCAATCTTATTCCCACACTATAATGGAACTCAAGATTTTGAGAATTTATCAAGATCAATAGTAAATGAGTAAAAGCCACAAATGCATTTATAATCATCACCACCATCTGTAGCTACCCTTAATCAAAAATCACCATTTATCAGGAGATTTGATGTGAGTAAATAAACAAGTAATCCATAAATAAGTAAATCAGAAGATCATTTCATTTTAATACTAGGTGGGTATTAGTATAATTTAGAGATAAATGAGCACAGTTTCAAGATGGTTAAGAAATTTACTCCAGATCACCTAATTAGGAAGAGCTAAAGCCCAGCAACTGACCGAGTGCTCTCTGTCTTGGGAGTCTACAGGGTCCCATAACCGAGTGCTCTCTGTCTTGGGAGTCTACAGGGTCCGTTCCCCTTTTGCATATGGGAAGTTATGGGCTTAGACTGGGAAAGCAGTGACTCCAGTCAAAACCCGAGTCAACCCCCCATGTGTGCCCGCCCTCCCGGCAGCCTGCCCCTCCACTCACCGTCCACAGTGCATGCGGAGAGACAGCAGATGCCCAGCAGGGCCAGGAGGAGAAGTCTCATGGCTGGGGTCTTGCGGAGCTGTCCAGGAGACTGAGGATCAGCTCCCCGCCAGCCTCTTTTTTATCCCTCCATGGTCAGCGCAAGGCACTTCCTGTGGTGAGGGGGCTTTCGGGGTGGGTGTGGAATAGCGGAAAGTCTTTGCAACACTGATGCTTTGATCTTAAAACAGAAGGTTCCTCTGCCCCTTCACACTAACCCCACACCCTGTGGCCTTCTCCTCTCCTCCTGTGGTTAACGTGTCAGTGAAACCAAATTTCTGCATAGAAGAAAGCGGGCTGCCTCATCTCTGGCCGCCAATCTGAAGTCAGATCTTCCACTGCAGAGATGCCCCAGGCCTATGTCATGTCCCAACCGTGGGACAGAGCGAAGGAAGTGGGGTGCGGTGGTCACCGTGGCCCATTCCACCTGCCTCTGGCCCCGGGGCTTCCACGCCAGGCTCAGGAGCCCGGGCTGCCGTGCCCACCCCGGGAAGGCAGGGGCTCGACTTCACTGGGTCCTGTTTCTTGGCCTCTTTTATCCTCACTCCTCTCCTCACCCTTCGTCCCGTTACCCCCATTTCTCTGCCCCTCTGTGCCCCACTGCCCAAGAAACACTCGCATAAGTGTGAGCTTGTCTCTCTCACGTGGGCTTTAACGGAAGCTTAACATATATCTTAAACAGCTACTGCCAAGTTGTCCTGCACCAACTGCATTTGAGAAAAAGAAAAGGATCTGTAAACTGGCCACTCTGACAGTTGCTATTTTAAGTGTTTTCCCAATGAGTACTGGGCTACATGTTTGCATAATTGTGATCAATGTAAGTGCTGTCTAACATCAACTTAACATCTCCCTGTGCTTCTTCAACCTCCACACCTCCACTTCAAGCAAATATAAGCCTGTTCGCATTCAACCGTCCCCTTACAACTTACTGTGACATGACCTGGTCTATAAGATCAACTCTCATTATTGCACGCAGACATATGCCCCTCTACCATCAGAAGTGGGTGCTGGATAAAGTCCCTTAGTCATCTTTATAGCTCTTGCTGTCTGTTGCCCTCGGAACCTTCCAGAACGGGCTTCAATTGATGGTGCCCCCAGCAGGACTCAGCACACCATATGGTGCTACAGCCTTTTGACACTCAGTTTTGTTTCTTTTTATTTACGTAAGCATCAACAAAAATGTATTTATTGAATACATGTTATATACAGTTAGAGGTTTTGCCATTGCTATTAGGATTATGAAAATGAATTCCTGTTTCCATGGAAATTACAAGGTTATCTCTAGGAGAGTTTTCATTGCTGACATTTAATTTTCCAGCCAGACTTCACCCTGAACTTCAGAATGGCTTTGAAATTATGTCTGCTCTGGACACCTCCTCCGTCCAAACTACTTAGCAGGACCAACGTGCTCTCGTCCTTCCATTTGCAAATACAGACATGTGGGGGTCACCTCAGACTCACAGGGAAAGGGAACTCTTACACATGGCCAGTGGGAATGGAAACTCATATAGCCACTAGGGAGGACGGTATGGAGCTTCCTCCAAAAGCCCAAGTGCAGGACTGCCGTGGGACCCAGTGATCCCTTTGTGTCCAGGGAGGGGACCAGCTGCTGGAGACACACCGGCACTCCTACACTGTGGCAGCACTGTTCATAGCCACCAAGGCGTGGAGTCAGCCTGAGCCCATCAGGGCCCAAATGGACAGGGAAAGTGGCATGTGATCTCCACGGATGCTACTCAATCACTACAGGGGTCCCGCCACCAGAGATAACAGGAAGAACCTATAAGATGTTACCTTCCGCAATGCGCCAGGCTCAGAAAGACAGAACCTCATGGTGGGAAGATGTAAAAGTTGACCTCACAGCAGAATGGTGGTCCCCTGGAGCTGGGGATGCAATGGTGGTGATGTTAGTCAGAGGACACAGAATTTCAGTTAGATGAAGAAATAAGCTCAAGAGATCTTTGGTACAAGATGGTGACTATAGCTAATGATACGTCGTATTCTTAAAATACGCTGTCCTGTGGCTCTGACATTTAGGAGGAGGTTTGTCAAGCTGCTGGTGAATAGGACAGCCCTCTCTTACTCAGGGCTCTGCCACAGTGTGTCCCTTGGCTGTTACATGGGTGCCTTGTCCAAGAAGCAGCCCTGGAAAGCCAGGACAAGAACCCCGTTTACACCATGCTCTTTCTCTTTTACCCTGTCAATCAAACCACAGACTGTCAGGTAGACAGGATACAAGGAAGGAAGTTGGGTAGTTTGTAGGTAAATTTTTACCTTCAAGTTCAGGTTAATGAAAAGGCAAAGTAGAGTGTGAGAGAGCAGCACGTGATATGTGAGCAAGTGGACGGTGCTCTGTGTAAGACACTGTCTTAAAAACAGGAAGAATTTTAAAAACAACGCATGCTCGTGCTGGGAGAGGGATGTATGAATACGAGTGTTTTAGATTTCCCTGCAGTGTGAGCCGTGCTGCGCAGCCTCATCCATTACTTGAAATGAAACTTTGAGTGTCTGGGAGCCCCGGACGGTCAAGGGAGGAGCAAGACATGCCCCTTTCTCAGGCATTGACCCCGAGCTTGGTTACGACACCGATGATAGACCAAACAGCCCCAAAGCAGAACAATGCCTCAGGAAGTGCACAGAGAAGCTGTTCTGTGGTCCCATCAGAGGGAAGGGTGGGCCTAGAGCCTTTCCTGGACTGTCTTACACCAAGCACCACTTCTGCCCATTGTTGGATGAAACGCAGTGGGGACGCTTCTTTTCTCACTAATTGTGGAAACTACATGTATCAGGATCGCGTGGTATGATAGCCTGCTGAAGGCTCTGAGAAGTCTGCCACAGGAGGCTGACCCCACGATTCCTGAGCTTCACTGACCACAGAACCCTTTCCATGGAAGACTTCTCCCAGAGACACATTTCAGACCCTAGTCTAGGAGGGTGGTCCTAAAAGTGCAGGTGGGAAGCAGTGGGTGCTAGGCGCAGGGGTGTGCACCCTAGGGCCTGCCCTGGAGTGAGAGAAACTGGAGAGCTTTGCGCTGTGAACTCAACACAGGTGTAGACGGAGCCTGGTACAGCACAGAAATCCACCTGGATATACATTTTCCAGGGGCAGTCCCCAGCTGGGGGACCAATCTTGACTCTGGGGTACTTTTCTTCATGATTATTTTCTGCTTCTGCTTATCTCCCAATACCAGGTAATGTGCAAGTGGACCTCTTGTTTTTCTAATGGTTTCAAAAAAACGTCTGGCCTTATTCAGAAACCACTTAAAACAATGACACAATAGGAGAAGAACGGGCAATTGTTCCTCATCCCAGGAGCATCCAACACCGGTGCTTGTGATGAAAAGACACACTCAAACGTAGACCCACCACTGGGAAGGCTGCGAGATCCTGTGACCGGGGAGTGCTGCGTGGCTGTCCTCAGAGGCTGGGTGGGGTTCTGTGGGTAGCCAGGACTGATGGTCAGGGGCCGGACGAGCTCGGGTTCCCTGCTCCACGTCTGAAGCAGCATGTGTGGTGCTGGGCCCTGAACCCCAGCCTGGAAGACCCGTCCATCCTCCCCATGGAGGGTCAGTCGCAAGACCTGACCTGCTCACCGCAGAATACAAGCCCATGGAGTAGCTCGATTGCCAACTTGTCAAATTAGCTAAAAAAAAAAATTGAATTTTAATCTTTATAGAAAAAAATCAATATTCTTTTCTAGTAGAACATAATGAAAAACACCATTAAATCCTTTATGTTTGATCTTTAGTTTTAGTACCTCTGGCCAATAGCTCTTACCAGAACCAGGGGTCTGGGAGAGCATGGATTAAAGGGCGGGTGGCATTGGACGTCTGAACACAATAGCAGAACTGACTGTGGAAACAAACCAGTCAAAGGTTGACTGATCAGAAGCTGGCCCCCCTCGGCCCCGGTAGCACAGCAGCCCTGTCCCTGCAGTCACCTGCCTGTGGTCATCCACAGTGCTGGTCACGCCTGCCCGCCACATGCACTATGCTGGGTATTGTTGCTCTCTCCCGGCTGGAGCGTGGAACCCGCGTATTAAGACTTCATTTCACGACCAAATCCCCAGCACCTATAATGTAGGAACTCCATGTCTATCCATATTCATTGATACAATAAGGGAAAATAAACTAATGTTCTTGTCATCCTCTTCTTTCTCCCAAGAACTCAAAGTAGAAGCACTGTTCAAGAGTTTTTCAGTTTAATTTGGTGATAGATACTTGACACAACTACTGTCGCAATACAACAAAGAACAACGGGAAAAGAAGCCAAAGGACACAGAGCTGCCCTGCACTGTGATAATCCCCCCTCAATCCGCCATCTTTAATGAAGGAGAACAAACCAGAGTGACCAGCAACCCCGCAGCACAGTGTCCACCCTGCCGCAGCCCTCAGCAGGACGCAGTGGAAGTCAGGATCTGAGGCATAGGATGTGTGACGTGGCTACGACACGGTGCCACCTGTGCTCTCCAGTCCCTGTCATAGGTAACAGACGTGTGTCGTGTGCACACCATGTACACATTGTCCCAGCTGAGGACCAATGGCAACAACAGAGAGAGAAGGGAACACTTGAGGCAATACACGCACTTTTAGCAAAAGTCAGCTTTATTTTTCAAGTGGTGATAATTACACAGTAGTATCACACCCCATCAAAGAAGGGGTCAGTAGGCATAAGCTGTGGCAAAGGGGTCCCTCGAAGTTGTGTGTTCACTCCAGGTGTTGATAAGAGAAATTCCTTGTATCTGGTCCAGTTAATGAAGGATGGCTTTATGTGGAAGTGGTATTTCTAGAAATGCAAAGTTTATTCCTTATTATTGAAAAATGATTGTTTTTTTGTATGAGCAATGTCTGACTCCTAACCACAGAAACTTATTTGAAAAGCAGATGATCAAAAAGTGAAACTGAAATCACCTCTAAGGCCGCGCTGCCCATGGACAACCACTTCCAGCCTTTGATGTTTGTCTGTCAAGAACATGTCCCTCATTTAGTACAGACAGAGGTCAGAAGTGAAGTGGGCCCTGTCCACTGTTCCTTCGCCTGTCTTCTCGCCAGCCAGCCACACCACGAGCTATTCCAGGTCCACAGGTCTAAATCGGAATCTTCT